AGATACTTATGTTCACTATAAATTTGAGCCATGAAAGGAATAGCAGCCTATATTTCTTAGACCGACTTCCCCTACCCTCCTCCCCCAGCAACAACAGGCAAACCAAAAAATGCCGATGATTTGGCAGCCTGGACAGGGGGAAAGGAGAGGGGGGGGGGGGGGGGGTAACGTTGGCTCTCCACGTAATACTTTTCATAAAAATAGCGCTAAACGTGACTTTTGTCGACTCGACATACTTGGCCAGTTTTGACCATCTACACTCCACTTTAGCTTCCGAGTATCACGTTCAGTTTGGCGTTCTTCTACAGTTTCAAGTCATAATTTCAAGGTTGGTTTGTACAAAACAGAATTGTCTAAAATAACGTGACCTTATCCGTCTTCCATGCTGAAAGCGCACAGGAAGTACAAGATTTCCCAAACGAACAGACACCTGATCTTATCATCTTCTAAAATTGGATATCGGAAAGTCTCCATTTTTATCATGCAATATCCACGGGACAATGCTGGCGACAATCCCAGTCGAACCACAATCGGAAAACGGTGGAACATGTATTATTTGACTAATGTAATCCATCGCCGGTGTCTGAAGAGTTAGCGATATAAACTGTTCATGATTTATTAACGGCGCTTGACAGCTCCAGCAAGAGTTGATTATACAGTAATAGTGTTGTTCGTAAGAACATTTTCGGAATAGTCCCGAAAATGACATAAATAGACCAATAGCGTCCTGCATTCTCTGACAATTTCCCGATACAAGAGTCAGTAATCTCGAATACTGAACGGAAATTCCCACCAAAAGCATTATTCTCGAATCAGCACTTGTAAGATATCACCACCGCTAAATATTCCCTGGTCAGTTGCCTTTACCAGTCAGTACGTCTCTTGTACTTCTAGCTCTTTGCCACGTTGCTTGACCACTATCAGTATAATCTTCTTTTCCTCCCACCACAGGCCCACAAAATTGCAAAGGAAATGGACAAAGGCGCGCGCCCTGGGCGAGTGTCCTTACAATTTGTGACACTGATTGTAGCGTCCTATTTAAGAAGGCGTTCTATTGGCTCGCTGAGGTCTTATGTGTCATGCAGGCAAAACAAGGATGAGTTGAGGAATGTTTATTAGCTCGTTTGAAAGATTGCGCAATGAATTCCGCGACGAACGAAAAGAATACGGAGTGCTTTTCACGGTAATCTAGGATCAGAGCAAAGTTTGAATTGAGTTTTACGGCTGGTGTTGTATAGGTTTACCTGTAACATGTATCTGTTCTGCAGGACTGGTTCGCCGTCCCTCGCACTGCCAACACCGCCCTGTCTGCTTGTCCTTCTCCAGTAAACGCCGCTCATGCGCGATAGCAAGACGATCCTAGTAACATAAACGTTGCACTTAGCAACACAAAGGAATCGAGCTTTGAAATGAACAGGCGCAATCGGGTTGAGGTAAGGAAGAAAACCGCGTGGATAAAGAAAAAAGAATAGGGAGAGATCAGGGAGGTGGCTTCCTTCCCTCTTTCTCTCTTCTCCCAATCCCTGATGGCAGGAAGCTGACACACACGAAACTGGTGAACGCGATAAGAGATATATATGTAAGTGAGCCTCGATTTCTAAAGAAAGTTATTATTGCAAGATTCCATTGTTGCAGCTAAAGAAACAAAAAACCCGATTTCATTCCAGTACACCCAACAAGTGGGAACTGAAAAAGCCACCAACACAACTTGAAATAACAATTTGTTTTGCGTTTCAATTTCAGTCGGAGGAACAAGTGCCGTTCTTCGATAAATCCTCGTAGAAGCTCGCGAAGAGTTTCCGATACTTTTTGTCCAATCAAAACTTATCGAGAACATTCGTGAGTCCTCCGAAAGTTGTTAAGACAGTTTGCTTGGCGTCATAAGTTACATAAATATAAATATAATATTAGTTCTGAGATTTTGATGATAAGTATCAAGACAACATATCCTCGTTGACATTTTTATTTGCATCAACTGTCTGTTTGACAATGTATTGATATCAGTAGAATAAGATACCTGCGCCAGCTGTCGTTCTTTCTCTTGTACGACCAGGAACATTCCTTCAGATTCAGCTCGTTGACCCTCAGCGTTCACTCGCACACGTTCTGCTAGTTCCAGGGCTTGCTCGCCCTCATCACGCGCCCGACCAGCATCCTGGGAAAAGAGCACGCATTTAGTGGAAGTTGCTAAGCAACAGGACACATACTCATCATGAGATGCTGACGGTAACTTATGGTGCGCCCGCGAGTATTCGCGCATTTCTGATTGGTTAATGGTCATTGGAGATTTACCAAAGGTACTTGTTCATTTCGTGACACAAAATGAAGCCCGAAAGAGGAACGGTTGGTTATTAATGTAGCCGCTTCAGACAGTAAAAGCTAGGAAAACAGCGCCTTACCGAGCAAAGTTCCTCAATCTCCCGTGACCTCTTCTGTACTTCCAGTCCTAATTTTCCAATCCTGTCCCTTTCCTCGTCAAATCCACCCCGCCGTCGCTCGAACTCTTGTTTATCTCTCCTCAGTCTCTCCTCTTCCTGTTTCACCTGAGCCTCCCGTACACTGAGGGCAGCGGTGTCTTCTTTAATCCTAACCGCAGTAGCTCCCAGGTCAGCCTCGGCCTAAACGTACAGTAAAAGTAAAAAATAAAGATAACAGAAAATCAGGAAATGAAAAAGACTTCGAGATATCAAGTACAGTCTTAACTCTCGTTTATAGCGGACACCCTCGTAGTTGGAGTCCGTAATGGCGGGAGTAATTTTCAGTCAAACCTCTATAGCTTTCGCCGGGTGGAGGGCTGAATTTTGTCCGTAATGACGGGGCGTCCGCAAGGCGAGAGTTTACTGTACACAGTGAAGAAGAATCTGTTTTGTCTTGCAGCGGTTTTCAAAATTAGTTGAACTGACAAAATCAAACGACGATCATTATTTGGCTTTTTCAGTTGTTGCCCATTATAGTTCCGACTGCAGTCCGCTGAAAACTGATTGGAGGCGTGTTCCACGCATGCGACGAGCGTGTTTGATGACGTCACTAGGCAATGAATAAATTTGACCAGACAAACGGAAAGCACTCTTACCTGTACGCTCGTCTCAGTCTTCATCTTCTCTCTACTAATCAGGTCTCTGTGAGCCGAGGAGAGCTGGGCACGTTCTGTGGCCAATGACCGCCGTTCTTCTTGTATCTGAGTCATGGTGGTTCTCTGTTCTCGCACCAGATCGTCACGGGCGCGCTGCACCTAACAGGAAAAAAATTGGATACAGTCAACACAGGGTTTGGCAGCAAGTATGATCCTATGTAGCGGGAGACGAGGTCCGGAGTCCAACGCGCTAACCATAAGGCCACCGAACGGTCCGGGTTCGAGCGCTGGCCGGGATCATTGTGTTGTGCTCTTGGGCATGACACTTTACTCTCACAGTGCCTCTCTCCACACAAGAGTATAAATGGGTACCGCCACAAAATGCTTGGGAGTGACCTGCGATGTAGCAATACTCCTAGTCGGCTTCATGCTACAGAAACCGGGATAAGCTCCAGCAGTGTGGGCCAGTTTGGCCCGAATGCAGCTTTACCATGATCCCATGTAGTAACTGCACTATTTGCCAGCATAATGAACGGCTCTGTGACATCATTCAGGTTTTTAGTATTACGACAATTGTCGTCTTCGCCGCTATGAATCAGACAGATTTAGCAAAGACAATGCGACGTTTTGACGATGGTTCGCACACAGGATCTAGAACGCCCTTGTACTGGTCACGACGTGAAACTTGTGAAATGCCGTACTGACGGATCTTACGGCGAGGACGACAGCGCGAGCATCGGAAGTCGAAATCAAGTAGTGCCCAGACTATTCCGCGCACTCTCGCATCCAATGTTTTTACTAAATCTGCCAAATCTACGCAGGCTAGAAACCCGTCATTCTTCCAGTAAGTTTAACTAGATAGGAGCAGTTACAATGGAAATAAACTGCCTAATCTTATCTACACAGGCTGGAAAACCAGTATAGGAGCAGTTACCATGGAAATAGGTCGTGTCATACGGCAAACTATCACCCAGAGAACATTATTTCACCTAAGGAATGAGTAGCCCTATCTGTTTTCACCCTTGCAGTCCTAACCTCAAAATATCACTTCTCCTTACCGAATTCCATACATTTCTTTCAATGTTGGTTTTGAGAATTTGGTTGTACAGCGGACAATATCTCTTAGTTGACGACTTTCCTTATTCTCATCACCTGTTTGCTTGACAGTGCACTGATATTGTAGGAGAAATTAATTTTTGATCATTTACCTCAGCTCTTTGTGAGGAGAGCTGTTCCATTGTGATTCTCCGCTCGTCCTCCAGAGCAGACTGAAGCGCTTTCAGTCGAGGACTCCTCTTGAGGACAGACGCCATCTCTCTTGATCAACCTGACGAGACTGCTCGCGCATGTGCAGTTCCATCTTGGCAACCAGGCCTGTAAGATACACAAGGTGTGGTTGAGAAGTGCATGAGGAAAAGTGTTATCAATTGTGTGTCGAAAATAATCAGGAATTGCTTTGGTTTTTACTTTACTACGCTCTGTGATTGGTTAAAAAAAACTCGCGCCACCTTCTCAACCAATCAGATGCAAAACCAATACCAATCGCGACTTGGTCGTACGCGTTTTCCCGCGCTTGGCGCCGCGGTCACGTGAATTTTCTTTGAGTTCTCATTGGTTCATTGTGTTGTTTTCGTTTGTTATGACTGGCCAGTGTAATTGCTTTGGTTTCGGTTTTACGACACTCAATTGGAAAACTGCTCTATTATTGTGTCGTGGAAACACTTTGCTGGGAGGCAAACCACACAGATTTAAAAAAAAAGATTGATAATGAACAACATCGCACCACAATTCGAACTCTTTTAGCCCCAGGCCAATGTCATGAGTTATCCTCCTTGTTTTTAAGCGTAGATCTCGTAATTAAAGAACAAAATGTAATCAGAGAAAGGTGTTTTTATCAGTCAGTGACACAAGCTACCGAATTTCCGAGTTCTCCCAACAGGAGCCGAACCTATGACTTTCCGCACACCGGTCGAACGCTCTACCACTGCGCTCTACCACTGAGCTACAGGAGACTCGTGGAAGCTTAGGCCATATAATATAGGTTAATATGTGTAATCATTTCCTGCAATAGCGTGTCCTAGCCCCTAAGCCCTAGCTCCCCAATCACAAAATCAGAATCAATCCCGTCTTCTCCCCCCCCCCCCCCCCATTAGAACATATGATGACGTTTACATGCCTTGTAACCTGGTCCTCTCGTCCTCATTTTCAGATTGCTGCCTATGTAACCTCTCCTGTAATTGTTTCAGATACTCGTCCCGGGCCCTGGCGGAGAGTTCGCGCTCTTCCAAACCACTCTTATGGGTGACTTCGATCTTCTGTCGTAAGTCGCTCACTTCTCGAGTCGAGCTCAACACTTGGTCCATAAGGGACTGGAGCGACTTGGTGTGAGCATGCGCGCTGGTAGCCGCTGACACCTCCTGTTCTTTGAGCCTTCTTAGATGCGCGATCTCATCTTCATGTTTCGGCGCGAAATTGTTCCAACGCTCGGCGATGAAGGTCTTTTAACGTCCCTATCTCGTTGTTTTTCGCTGTCTCTAGAATTGAAAGTTTTCGGTTTGTTTGTTGTTTGTAAGTCAGCTTTTTCCATTTGCACGTTTTTAAACTTGTCGCTGTTTTGCTGGATGATCAGGTCGGTCTCGTCCTTTAGTCTTTGTTCGCGGCGCTGATAAGAGTCTTCCAAAGTCTTCAAGTGAGATCTTGTTGACAAAAGATAAATAAACTCAAACAATCAGCTACAGAACATTAAAGGAGCTATGTCACGATATTTTAAGTCATTTTAATCACCTTCAAATTGAAGAAAGCCTCAAAATAATAGTTTACTAAGGTAGAAAAACACCAAAGAGGTGATAATACACCAAACAGGAACACGGATGATTGAGGATGGAGAAGATTAAGACGGATTGCAAATGGTGAACTTGAAAAAATGGCCAATTTTTTCAAGATGCGCCATCTGTGACGTAGCTCCTTTAAAGTGCCCCTACGATCAAATTGTTGATATTCATTCATTTTTTTACATTTTCGAGTACAAGATGACTTTCTCACTCATCTTGCCAAATTTCATCCATCACGAACATTAGAAGTCTATTTTTTGGACTTTTATTCCAAGAATTTATGGACGCCATTACTTGACCTTGTTCCAAGGCTTGGTTGCGAATTAGAGAAAATGACGTCAAAGGCTCAAAAATACCTCACGGTTGAATATATAATAATAATAAGTATAGAAAATCGCATGAAGAGCACAAAAACTTTGGACTTGTTGGAATTTCGTCAAGAAATTGCTTTTTATCATTTAGTTAGAGTTTATTAAGTTCTTATTCCATAAATTTAGGGACCATTTCGTGCATTTATAAACAGTTTTGACCAATTGCGCCAGGACAGTGTCCCTTTAAACATCAAATAAAATAAATAGCACCCCGTTTATTGCTTCCTTTCTTACTTGTGAGAAGTATCAATATTTGCCAGTTCATCCTTGTGTCTTGTTTTCAGTGCCTCGATCGTAGTCAACAATTGCTCCCGCTCAAGTTCTAAACGCCGAACCTAATAAGAAAGTCAAAAGTAACGCTTGTTTAATGTTTGTTAAACTGGTTCAGCAACTGGTCAAAGCAGTCAAGTGACATTATAGTGCGACTACTCCAACCAAGGCCAGCCACCAAGCAAATTCTTTGCAAATTGACCAATAGCGTTGAGTGTTAAAACAATAAAAATGGTCACAAATTTATGACTTCTGTAGTGTGCAGTTTGTTTAGATTTATAATTTGTGGTAGATCTATTGTTAACATTTTAGCCGTTATTTGTCATCACACAACGCTTTTTGGGGGAGAAGCGTTTGCGTGACGGGGACCAAAATAACAGCTGTGAAGGCGACTCCACCGCGGTCAAAACGTTAAACAGAAATAAACTACGCCGATAAACCTCATGATTACACCATGTTTTAAGCACGTCTAACTTTTATGGTAAACATCCAAAAAAAAATGGTAAATCAACAGAATGCTGGAAATATACTGTCTGAACTTTTTGTTTGAAAAGTCTAAACTTCTCCTTTTACCTACTTGTTTCCTTTCGCAAATTACTATCAAAGTTTTGATTTCGGGTTGTTGCAATGGTTTTCCTTCAAAATTTTGCGCGGGAAATTTGCGCGCGGGCTACCTGAATTTACGCCTTTGCGCATGCTCGAGCGTTTAACCGCGGTGAAAAAGGTGAAAAAGGAGATTGGATTGTAACGCCGCCATAAAGAAAGAACTCTCACCTTTCTTTCCAGCTCTGACACCTTACTCCCAGCGTCCAGATCTTTCTTGTGCCTGACACCATCCATCTCGTGAACTCTCTTCATCAGCTCCTTCACTTCTTCCTCCAGTCGCGTCTTCTGCTGCTCGTGTTGGTCGTTCACCACCTCGTACTCCATCAGTCGACTCTGCTGCAGCTCACTCTCAGCTTTCAATTTCGTCATTTCAAGCCGCTCCAGCGACGACGGTTGAAGGGATCTGGGGCGATGGTTGAAATCCAGCAGGGGACTGGTATTGAGGTTGGTAGTGAAGGGTCTGGGGCGGATTCTGACCGGCAGGCGAAGCAAAAGGAGTAGATGGGTACTGTACGTTGGAGAGGGGCTGGTGAGGATACGACTGATGGGGGTAGGGTTGGACTCCCATTGACGATGGAATGTTAGCCTGAGGGGGGATGGGTTGGATTGTATAAGGCTGCTGTGGTGAGTATTGCTGTGGATGGGAGGGCCGGGTTTGTAGTGGAATTGACTCAGGGGGTGGTACATGCGGTACAGCAACTGGTGCTGTAGAAGGAACAACATTGTACTGTTGTGATCCAGGCTGATCTTGTGCTTGTGGTTGGTTTTTGCCGCGAGCTTGTCGATCAGCCGGCTGCTGCTCGATTGCAGGTCTTGTTGTGTCTTGGTTTATAGATGCTTGGCGTTTATTTTCCATACCTCTCTGTCTAATTTCCTCGTTATCCAGGGGACCCCCCTGATGTGGCCTATCCAGAGCACCCTGACTGGGTGCAGGATCCGGTTCATCAAGCGAACTCTGCGGACTTGCCTGATCACGCCACCGCCTTCCTCTTCTGGGGACTGCCTCCGGGTGACTCCCATGGCAACAAAGACGATCTGAAGAAACCAATCAATCAATCAATCAATCAATCAATCAGTCGGTCAATAAGTTCTTCCGTCCGTCCGTCCGTCCGTCCGTCCGTCCGTCCGTCCGTCCGTCCGTCCGTCCGTGAGTCCGTCCGTCCGTCCGTCAGTCCGTCCGTCCGTCCGTCCGTCCGTCAGTCAGTGAGTGAGTCAGTGAGTCAGTCAGTGAGTCAGTCAGTGAGTCAGTGAGTCAGTGAGTCAGTGAGTCAGTGAGTCAGTGAGTCAGTGAGTCAGTGAGTCAGTGAGTCAGTGAGTCAGTGAGTCAGTCAGTCAGTCAGTCAGTCAGTCAGTCAGTGAGTCAGTTGGCCAACCAGCCAGTCACCCATTTAACAATTTTCATCTTCTTGCACTTTGTATTCGAATAAAAGTCAAACTTTATATGATTAGTGAAAACTTACTTTCCACTATCATCAGTTGATTCCGGCTGTTTTGGTTTTGATGGTTCATCAGGCGTGATTCCCAGCATGCGTAAGAACTCATCATTATCACCGTCCCCCCGGCGCCGGCCAGCTCTTCTTGGTGGTGACGATTGTCTCTCTTGACGATCAGGGGGGCCTGAAACACGGAGCAAGAATACAACAAGCTTAAGAGGAGGCGGTGTGGCTGAGTGGTTTAGGGCACAGGGCCCGGTTGTTCAAAGGGTGGATAACGCTATCCACCAGATAAATTACTATCAAGTGGAACAACCGGGCCCTGGATTTGAAATCTGGAGGTCCCTGGTTCAAATCCTCCACCCTGCCACTAGCTGGATTTGTTCTCGGTAGTCCCGAGTTCAACTCCTCTGCCACGCTTTGTAAATAGCCAACTGGACAGCCTCCCACCAGTTGGGATTCTTAACAAGTTTATGTTCTATTTACAACATTTGTTTGTTGATTTACAGTGTCCACAATTAGCACAGCAGTGCTAAATCCTCTGACACTTCAATAAAGTTGTTTATTCTTATTTATTTAGTTGTGAAAGAAAAGAGGAGTTATGAAAAAAGTAGGCTTGATTTCCGACGCTCTCACGAGTCCGGTCTCCGTTCCTCCCGAGAAGAGGAATGAAGGGGAAGGGCGTGGGCTCATTTTCCCAAACAGCGGCTGGTAATCGAGCCTATAAAAATGGAGAGTTGTGCAAACAATAATTATTTATAACAATATTATTGACAGAACACAAATTATACCTTGTGGTGCATTTGATGAGTCCTTTTTGCTCTCTCCAGGAAATGGCGTGCTGGTTTTCAGAGAAGCATTATTAAGATCCAGGCCCACATCGTCGTCCCCGCCAACCACCCAGTCCTAACCAGTCTCCCCCACCGCCTCCACTTGGTTTTGATGCTGTAAACAGAAACATAGCGTTAAGGGCGACACAAAACTACGCCACCTGACGATATTTTAAGTCATTTTGCGAAGTGCAAAATCACCTTCAAATTGAAGAAAGCCTCAAAATAATAGTTTACTAAGGTAGAAAAACACCAAAGAGGTAATAATAGACCAAACAGGAACAAGGATGGTTGAGGATGGAGAAGATTAAGACAGATTGCGACTGACGAACTTGAAAAAATTGGCCAATTTTTTCAAGATGCGTCATCTGTGACGTAACTCCTTTAAATGACACAGCTGTTACCTGGTGCCAGCCGGTGTCCTGTCGTCTTTTGGTTTATCAGCTGGTGGATTCTTGTTTGGTTCAACCTTGGCTTTCCTCTGAACCTACGAAACATTGCAGCACATCATTATCAAAGCAGTTTTGTAATGACTTTCACAAAATCAGAGGTCTACAGAGGTCTATAACTACATGTATAGACTTCTAGCACGATCCTATTTTAACCAATGAACTTCACACCGCTCTTTGTCTTCATATTTGTTTTGTTTTGTCATTTTGTTTTGTTTTGTA